GTGCGGCAGACAATCGACGGAGTATGATACCGGCGAGAAGTTTAGAGGCAATATTGATTAAACTAATTCCTCTGTGGTTTTCACAGGAGGATCTGTCACCTTTCACAGTGTGCCAAACAAATCACGGTACAATGATCTTTATACAGAGAAAAAAGAAGTACCATGATTTGTTTGTGGGTGGAATACTGCTAGGTTGCCCCGGGCCAATGAAGTTAAATTTTCTTGAGCAAATCACAAACGGAGCCTTCGGTTAGCCAAAGCCTGACCTACAATGCAGCAAAGTGGTGTGGGAAAACCGCAATCCATTGGGGTCGGTGTCCCTTTCATTGGATGATAACCCTTTGGACGGGGTCAGTTGTCCAAGGTGTTTAATACACCCCAATGCCTAAACGAGCCGGTTACCACTGCATGACCAGGAAGGTTTGTGTGGTTAGTAAGCTTCCTCTTGGTTGGTTTTAGCCAACTCCTCTAGGTGAACTGTCAGTGGTTCACCGATACAGTTGTAGCCGCGGATGTTGGCCTTTCGTCATCTTACTGGTGGAAAAACGTCCGCCACAGGAGGGCAGTGAGTAGGGCTTCTTCAACAGAAGTTATTTGAGATGCTTGGTCGTATGAAAACGTTTCACGAGGTACAAGAGAAGGGTGAGCGACCGCAACCGGAAACATTCACCCCCAACCATATTAAGGCTTTTGGAGGCCAAGCAGTCTCTCCGACTGGTTGTTTTATTCGAGGGTGCAACTCTGTCCTTTACAAAAAAGTACAACCGGAAAGGTAGCTCGACTATTGCAGACAGGTTGGTAGCCAGTAGTTCCGTTGATCTGTCTCTTTTGCTTTGTCAGGTGGATGGAACTCTAAACTCCTTTGCCGAAATCGGTCCGGGAATCGCAAGACAATCGCAACGAAGCACCGCCAGTACAGTGCGCTGGGCCAAGATTTCACTTGGAAAGAATCAAATCCATTATGAAGTTGAATAGAAGAGGAGAGAGAGCAACTCTGACAAACTCGGGCAGAAAACGCCGTAAGATCGAAATCACTTTCAGGGCCGGTGTGATGCTTCCTTGAAAATAAAGCGTCACATTTACTGCACCAGTTTGCGGTCAGTTCTGCTTCACGGTTGTGAGACCTTGAACTTGCGCGTGGAAGATAGTCATTGTTCGTAAGTCTCCAACTGTCTATGTTTACGTAGTCCGGGGTGAGTTGGTTGGTGCAAACCTGGAAGCAAACTAGAGGTAAGCTGTCGTGTATTTGGTAATACATTCGATCACTAAAGAAAGGGAAGGCTGCGGGATCGGATGGACTTTCCCCTATTCTTTTCAAGGTGGGCGGTGATTCTCTTGTCGACTCGATTACTAGGTTATGTCACAGTAACTGTGCGGATGAGCGTATTTCTTTATCCCAGGGTGAATTGTTGATCGTCCCGATCTTCAAGAAGGGATCATGCAACAACTGCACCAACCACCGCGGGATTAGTTTAGTTCCGATAATCACAAAAGTGTTGACTGCTGTGATACTTCACCGCCTTAAAACCTTAAGGGAGATGAATATCCGCGAACAGCAAGCCGGATTCCGACCAGGTCGCGGGTGCATCGACCAAATCTTCACTGTGCGTCAAGTCCTCGAACTGCGTCACACACAACAACAATCGCAGGGTTCCTTGACCTAAAAGAAGCCTTCGATTCAGTTGACCATGAAGCTCTTCTGGGATCGCTGCTTCGCAAAGGAATATCGTGAAAGTATGTAAACCTATTGCGGTCGCTGTACTTGCATACTTCTGATAGAGTAAAGGTCTACGGTGGGCCAAGTAAATCATTCGAAACCGAGAGCGGTGTTCATCAAAAGTGCCCTATTTCGCCATTCCTGTTCGATTTCCTCGCGGACGAAATACTGGAGAACGCGTTCAGTGGTCTCCATAACGTAGGTATTGAATGGGTAGCTGTGCGATTTAGAGTACGCTGATGACATCGTTTGTCTGTTCAAGTTCATAGAGAATGCGCAAAGCGCCCTTGACAAGCTATGTAACTCATTTCGGCAGGCGCTTTGCACTTCCAAAGTGCAAACTGATGCTACAAGACTGGGTGTCGTCTACTCCAGCTGTATTGGAATGTTTCAACTACTTAGGTAGCTGCGTTACAAATGACGGTAACATAATCAATCAGGTAACCGCCCACATTTCCATTTCACCGATGGTTAGAGACACTGAGCGATACGGCTGGATGTCGCGAACGGTGGCGCTCATGTATCTAGTCATTATTCATGTAACTTCAGTCTGTGAATTCGCTATCTTTCGCTTGAATTTGCTCTCAATATTCCAACCTTCATTTTGCTCTTTTATCCAAATGGGTAAACTAAATACAGCAATCAAAACCGGCGCACGAATGTACATGATTAATGGTTGTAAGAATTGAACTGAACATTTCCAAGGCTCGAGCAGCTTACGCAGGACTGAAACACCTTTGATGCGGACGGGATGTTTCGTTGAAGCTAGAAGGTCGTGTATGCTGCGCCAGTGTGTGGTTAGTTCTGCTTTACGGTTGCGAGATCCTAAATTTGCGCGTGGAAGATATTGGCCGTCTTGAAGTATTCGACTGCCGATGTTTACGTAATTTGGTGCGGGTTGGGTGGAGCGAGCATGTAAGCAACTCTGAGGTAAGGCGTATTGGGCGTATTTGCTAATGATTAGTTGGAGAATTCACTGTCCCATAAAATTCAGATTAGCCAGCTTCGCTGGTTAGAACACGTATCACACATGCTCAGCTGTCTTCCACCGCACCGTGCCTTATTTACAATTGCGACTCCGGGCTACAGAAAATCACGTGGAGGTCAACAGATGACGCGGAAACGAGGTATGAAGAAATGCACGGAGCGATTAGGTAAAGTAGATGTCTCCTGTAAAAGTCAAGGTTTTATTATGGGAAATACTTACAAGCGGTTGCTTTTTTAGTCCCATAGAATTTGGCACAGATGAATCGGTTCACAGTTCATACAAAGTAGATGAATGTCACAATTTTTCATTTTTTCGTGCCCTTCCACGGATGTTAAAATTTAAGACTTTTCAAAGCTTCATCCAGTTTGTGCTTGAATGAATCAATTGTGGGCGCAGAAACAACGTGTGGTGGTAGAGAATTCCAAATAATGCACACTCTGAGGGCGAATGAATGACGCCGGCATTCTAGTCGGCATTTTTGGAGCAC